CCTTGCCAAGTTGGATGTGTGAGAAGGTACTTTCAGCCCATCCCCACACTGTACCAGAATTAGCCTTTCTTTCTTGAAATCTAGTCCAGGGATAGCAAACTAGTGGTCTGTGAGCCAGATGCAACTTGCGGATAGGTTTTGTTTAGTTCTCATGGTATTTTTTTTAAATAGTTGAATTTTATGTCATTATATGAAAATATAAAATAACCATGATATTAAATCAAGAAATTCATTTAAGTATCTGGACTTTGATATGCTTGAACCATTGGAGAAACTGATTTCAGTGGCCTCTTATTCTATCATGAGAAAAAAATGGGTTGCACTGAGTAACTGTCCTCTTTAATCAGATATACACTATGTGATTTGCTGCAGCCTTCACTATTTCTATTGCTTTACCTGCCTGGCCTCTGTAGGCACTTGGATTTAGCCTACAGTGTCTCTACTTTTCAGCCTGAATCACCAACCCAGATCTCCTTTCTATTTTGATAAAGCCTCCTTAAGCATAGATCTCGTGAGCCACAGATCTATCACTAAAATCCGTGAAAGAGATTTTTGTAATTCTGAACCTCAGAGAGGATGGAGTCTAAGAGTTGATCCCGTTCAGAATTCCTGTTTTGCTTTTTTAGGCAGATCTGTTTACCTTCTTTCCCTTAGTTCTCTCTGTTTACCACAAAGTATTGAGGAGAAACAGCCTTTACAAACCCTCAAAAGATTTTTGTTAGATCATTCCCCCAAGGTAATGGTTGCCTACCAGTCTTACATTTGCATAATTAAATTGTCCACTGAAATGATTCTTCCCACGGCAAAGATCTGTTTCAAGCCAACTGTTTCTTCCTTGGTAGAGAAGCATTTGACAACTCTTTTTTTAAAAATGGAGGTATGTTTTCATTATCATATAATTCACTCATTGTAAGTGTATAATTCAATATTAATTAGTAAATTTAAGGATTTGTGCAACCATTAGCACAAATCAGCTTTAGAACATTTATGTCACCCCACAGAGTTCTTTTGTTACCCATATCCAGTCAATCCCTACTCTCACCTCAACCTCAGATAAACATGTATATGCTTTCTGTCTCTATAGATTTTAATTTCTGGATATTTTATATAAATGAAATTATATAATATGTAGTCTTTTACTTTTGGCTTCTTTCATTAGAATAGTATTTTTGAGATTCATCCATGTTTTATATTAATAGTTGGTTCTGATTTATTGTTGAATTATAATATGTTGTATGGATATAATACATTTTGTTTATCCATTCTGCAGTTGATGCACATGAGAATTGATTTGTTTTTTGTTATTTGGATAATGTTGCTATAAATATTTGAAAACAAGTCTGTGTGGACATATGTTTTTATTTTTCTTGGGTAGATATCTACAAGTAGAAATTTCTAGGTATATGTTAAATTTATGTTTTAAAGAAACTGCCAAACTGTTTTGCAAAGTGGTGGTACCATTTTACATTTTCACCAGTAATGTAAGAGGGTTCCAGATTTTTCACATGCTCATCAACACTTGGTATCATCAGTCCTGTTTTATTGTTGTTTCTGAAACAAAGTCTTACTCTGTCACCCAAACTGGAGTGCAGTGGCACAGTCTCAGCTCACTGGAACCTCCGCCTCCAGGTTCAAGTAATTCTCCTGTCTCAGTCTCCTGAGTACCTGGGATTACAGGTGTACACCATCATTCCCAGCTAATTTTTGTATTTTTAGTAGAGTTGGGGTTTTACCATGTTGGCCACACTGGTCTTGAACTCAAGTCAAGTGAACCACCCGCCTCGGCCTCCAAAGTGCTGAGATTACGGACATGAGCTACCGCCCCGGCTCATCAGTCTTTTTGATTATGGCCATTAGGTGGGTGTGAATCATTGTTCATATTGTTTCACTTTGCATTTCCCTAATCACTTTATGATGTTGAGCATATTTTCAAGTTTTCGTAATCCATTTGTGTATGTACTTTGGAGAAATTTATTTTCAAATCTTTTGCCCACTTTCAAAAGTTGTTTTTCTTCTTATTATCAAGTCTCAAGAATTCTCTGTATATTCTGAACTAAGTTCTTTTCCAAAAATATAAATTTTGAATATTTCCTTCTAGTCCGTCTTATGTTGTCATTTTTAAAATTGATGTTTTGAAGAGCAAAGTTGGTAATTTCAGTGAAGCCCAATTTATCATTTTTTCCTTTATGGATTGTATTTTTGGTACCAGATCTTAAGAAATCTGGGTCTAACTCAAGGTAGTGAGGATTTTCAATCTGTACTTCCTTTTAAAACACTATTTTTTTAGTTAATTTTTATATATGGTATGAAGTATGAATTGAAGTTCTTTTTTCAACATGTATATCCAGTTTTTAACTACACTATTTGTTAAAAAGAATTTCCTTTCTCTATTTAATAATCTTGGCATCTTTGTCAAAAACCAGTTGCCCATAAATGAAAGGGTTCATTTCTGAATTCTCAGTTCTGTCCCAGTGAACTACATTTGTCTATCCTTATGCCTATACTATACTGTCTTGGTTGCTATAACTTTAATGTAAGTTTTGAAATCAAGCAGTGTATATCCTCCAACTTTGTTCTTCTTTTATCAAAATTGTTTTGTCTATTTTTGGGTCCTTTGCATTTCCATATAAATTTTAGGATCAATTTGTTAGTTTCTAAAGAAAAGCCTTATGAAATTTTCATAGAGATTATATATTGAGTCCATAGATTAACTTGTACGGAATTGTTACTTTAACAATATTGAGTCTTGGAATCCATGAATATGAAATGTCTCTCCATTTATTTAGATATTCTTTAATTTCATTAGTGTTCAAGTCTTGTAAAAGTGATTCCTAAGTACTTTATTTCTATCGATATTATTTTGAATGGAGCTATGTCTTAATGTCACATTTGGATTGTTTGTTGCTAGTATATACAAATGTTACTGATTTTTATATTGATCTTATATCATCCTGTGGTGTTGCTAAACTCATTTTTTAGTTCTAGTGGTTTCTTCATAGATTCTTTATAATTTTCTACATATAGAATCATTTCATCTGCAAATAAAGACAGTTTTTATTTCTTCTTTATCCTTTAATATCTATTTTATTTCCTGATTGCACTGGCTAGATTTCCTAGTACAAAGATGCGTTGAAATGATGAATGCCTTATGCCCCATCTTACGGGGAAAGCATTCCATCTTTCATCATTAAATATGACATAAGTATAGAATTTCCCCTGCCCCGCATGCCCTTTATCAGTTTGAAGAATTTCCTTGCTAGTCCTGGTTGATGATTATTTGGTTTTATAGTTTATTAATAAAATGTAGTCCATTAATTGATTTTCATTGTTGAACCAACCTTACCTTTCCTGGAATAAATCCCACGTGGTCATTGTGTATAATCCTGGTTATATACTGCTAGATTAAATTTGCTAACATTTTGATAAAGGTTTTTGCATCAGTGTTTGCAATGGATATTGGTCTATAGTTTTCTTTTGATCTTTGCCTAACTTTGGTGTTAGGCCTCTCAGAATGAGTTGGGAAGTGTTCCTGCTGCTTCCGAATTCTTAAAGAGTTTGTGTAGAGTTGTATTATCTTTGAATGTTTCATATAATTAACCAGTGAAGCCATCTCAACTTGAACTTTTCTTTGTGGGAAAAATCTGAATTACTAATACAATATTTTTATTTGTTACGGGTTTGTTTAGATTTTCTATTAGTTTTGGTAATTTGTGCCTAAGAGTTTGTCCATTTCACCTGTTATCTTATATGATTGGGTAAGTTTGTTTATAGTATTCCCTTATAATTCTTTTAATTTATTTAGCATCAGTGGTGATATCATAGTTTCAATCCTGATTTCTATAATTAACATCTTCTCTGTTTTCTTTTGATTTATTTTGTTCTGATATTTGGTAACTTTAATGAAAGCTTTATCAATAAGACTTTTGGTTTTATTCATTTTTCTCTACTGTTTTTCTATTTACTTTACTAAATAGATTGTATATAATATGATAATATAAAATATAATAATCTATATATAAAGCTTAAGTTACTGATTTGGAACTTCTTTTTACTCTAAATGGTTAAAGCTATAAACTTTTTTCTAAACCCTGCTTTAGCTACCTCCAATAAATGTAAATATTTCATAGTTTATTTTCATTCACCTCAAAATATTTTCTAATTTCCCTTGGAATTTCTTTGTGATTTAGTATCTAAATATTTGGAGATTTCTAAAATTTCTCTGTTTTTTATTTCTAACTTAACTCTGCAGTGATTATAGAATATATTATGAAAGATTTAGCAAACCTTTCAAATTAATTGAGATATTATATTGTCTAGCATTTGCTGAATATGGATAATATTATGTCTGCTTGAAAAGAATGTGTATTCTGCTGATGTTAAATCCTGTATTTTATAAATGTCAAGATTTTTTTGATGGCATTATTTATGTTGTTTGTCTCTTTTCCAATTTCCTGTCTAGTTTTTCCATCAATTATTGAGAGACATATGGAAATCCCCAACTATTAATATTAAATTTTTTTTCTCCTTTCAATTTTGTCCATTTTTTTTTATTACTGTGGGGGCTCTTCTATTCAGTTCATATGCATTTCAAATTGCCAGATATTTCTGTCATGTTTTCCTTTAGGTATTTAACACATTTTTCTTTTAATAATTTTAATATATGTATAATAGCTATTTTAAAGTCTTTAAAGCCTTTGTCTGCTAAATTCTATATCTGGGCCCATTCAGGTACATTTTTTATTGACTGCTTTTTTCTTTATTATGGATCACACAGGTTTTTGTCAAAAATGTGTTTTTTAAAGTAACATGATAGTAGCTCTGGATTTTGATTATTTTTTCCTTGAGGGTTGGTTTTGTCTATTTTTTTATTAATAACTTCCTTTGTCTTAATCTGTAGAATCTATCTATATCCCTCATGATATGTGACTGCTGATTTCTCTGCTCAGTTTTTTTTTTCTTATTCTAATTTTTCTTTTTAACCTGGCTTCCTAGGGATTGCTCTGAGTCTCCGTAGTTTAATTGTTATTTAATGATTGATCAGAGGTTGTACTCAAACACTGAGACCAGCCAGTACTGATGGAACTGTGTGGCAGTTGACGAGCACATGCAGTATTTAGGCAGTTTTGAAGTCTGTTCCAGCTTTAACTTTCTACTGGGCCCTCTTTTGTCTCCTTTGTGCGTGTCATTATGTCCTAGTCAGATTGTATAGCAAGGTGGACAGACTGGGTGGCCTGGCGAACTTACGTAGCCTCTGTCTGCCTGTCTCATCTTCATTTACCCTGGTATGTTTCTTGCTATACCACCAATGTGCTAACCCTTACCAGGGCCATAGCCATAAACTTGTAGAGCTGGGCACTTTCCTTATTAATTTCTTTCAGTTTGCTTTCTTTGTTGACAATATCACTAATGGGTTTTTTGGCCTCCACTCCAAATCAAATCAGCCCCCTCTATTGTCAGCCCCTTTCAGAAGTGAAGCTGCTAGTTTTCATGACCAGCCTTACCCTGGTAGGAGTACTGTATTGACTGAGCTATAAAGGAGTGGGAGCAGCCCCAGGCAAGAACATCTCTGACTCCCAGTGTTCTTAGGCAGAGTTCAGTGATTTCCTCACAAATATATGTTTCTCAGTTTGATATTTATGATTTCTTGATTTCCAGAGCCATGAAATCATTGTTTTTGATAATTTTGTCCAGTTTCATAGTTGTTTCTTGGGGAAATTTCCTGACTGACTTCTCCATCAACAAAAGTCCTGCCTCAAATGGCGACTGTTAAAATGGCAAGTTCACTTGCTGAGGTTCTACTTAACAAGGATCCATTCTATAGTCTTTGTACCATTTTGGTACAGATTTGGGGTCTCTGGTAATCACAACAATCTGTTCACCATGCTACCCAGTCAGCCCACTTTGCTATACAATCTGTCATCTTAGTCCTGTTTGAGTAATCTTACATTTCAAAAATAATTGCCAGTAACTTTTTGGGTATTATTTTCTTTTGAATACCACATGGATGGCATCTGACACTGTTTATAATGCTGAATTTAATGGAAGTTTACAAATAAGTTATTCTATGATTCTCCTTTAAAAATGCAGATATGCATATATGTATATAGTAGTATATCTTGTCTCTTCTATAACACAGAATATTTAAATGGTTAACATTTGTGCTGCAGTATAGCTTTCTGGCTCATGAAAAATGAAAGCTATCAGCGATCTGGGCAATAAGATTCATCGCCAATAGTCACTAGCAACAGCACACAGCATTTTAATATCAGTGAGGTCCACAGCTAGCAGTAAGAGCTGGTGTAATTGAAAGACGTTTAGGTGCAATCGTTCTGCTGTTTGTTCCTTGCCAGGTTCAACATGGGATTATGTGAGTATTTGAAGAAAACAGCAATTTTTTTGTATCTTTGAAAGATGTAAAAAGCGTAGATTAGTGCTTAAATTTGAGGAATGTGGTAATTTAAAATCATGTGGCTCTAAAATAAAAAGGTATTTTATTTGTCTGGTTGATTAAAGCTTTATAAAAGCTACGCCATGGATACAAGTGAACCGATAATTCTGGTCTAATGTTGCCGTGGTAACAACTCATGCTGATATAATTGAGAACATCTTATACATCCTGGTTCGAACGTTTTCTCCCTGCCATTTTGAGTTGTTCTAGTGGTATATGAAGGAGGCTGGATAACTAGCTTGAAAGAAATTCAATCTCGTCATGGACATCTTTGGCATTAATCTGATGTTTACTAATGATATCTCATGCTAGGCAGTTATGCTTTGCTTCTAGGGGCTTCTCTTTTTAAAACAAAAGAAAGCTCTTTTCATTTTCTGTGTGCTGCATGCTCCAGTGTGTGTGTTTACACCATCGGTTCTTCTCCCTCTAGAGATTAGCATAACTCCCTTTGCCGTTGGATTGTTGTTTTGAGCAATATGTTTTGGAAAGGTTGGTTTTCATCATGAGTGGTAAGTATGCTCTCTGAGGCTCTGCAGCTGTTTATTTTAAAAATATATACTTATAAAAGGAAAAAATATTTTTGAAGGGGCAGTTATAAAGCCAGAGCTACTGTGAATTATATTTTGTGGTGATGCTTTTGTACTTAAGCATTATAGTAAATTGCCTTCAAAAACCATTAAGAACTGTAAATAATTAATGGCACTATTAATAGTCAATACCAATAATCAGTTTCTAATTTTCTTTATGGTTTTGATTTATTGTATTTTTGGACACTGTTATTAATTGTGTTATAAATTAGTAAATAGACTGACCATAAGAGAGGATTTTCTTTTAGTATCTGATCCTGAAGATAATTAGTTTAACTTTCCTTTGATTAGCTTTGTCATCCTAATGCTAATTTTTGTTAGATTATTCTTAATAGATTTTTAAAATTCTAATCTTGAAAATAAGATGCTGCCAAAATTTTGTTGATGTATTGGTTGCTTTTACCTACAATTTATTGAGAAATAAGGATATAATGATGAAATAAATAGAGCATTTTGGTTTGGGAGGATTCATTAAAATTTTTAATGGTTTTTTGGGTAAATAATTTTTTAGAATAAGTACATTTGTGACAATGAGTCTCTTTTTTGTTATTATAATGTGATTTATTTTTTCTAAACATTTCCAATACTGGTTTTTTTTTTTTGAGAAAATATACTACAGTATGTACTGCAGTTTATCATAGGGTAAAAGCTGTCACTTCAAGCCAAACCTGCAGCTAAAAATAGATATCCTGTTGTTAGAGTGAGAAATATTTGCTTAGAGCATAATTCATTAGCATCTTTTGCTTAACTAAAGAATAAGATGCTTGGAAGTTAACCTTTGATTCAGATATTTTTAAGAGAAGTCGAATATGGTTTCTCTGATACAGTCCTATAATTTGCATTTAAAAGATTTGGAATTGGAATTTTAGAAACTGAGAGGTGAATTTTTGCTGTATAATGATAGAATTCAAAACTGACGAACCTTTTCTTTCATAACTGGAAATCACCTTCTTATAACCAATAAATATTCTTTATCCTGCTGCAGTACAATATAAACCTCTTAAACACTGTTATATATTTGTTTATAGAATAATATTAGACATTAAAGGGACATTTTAACATGCAAAATATTAAGAATTAACTGGATTGTTATTTTCCTGTTATTGAAGTCGATCTTTCTGATCTGCTGTTTTAAATTTAAACTAATATTACAAATTCAACATACCCATTCCTTAGGATTTCTGTGGGTATCAAAAGTGAATATACCTGGTTATTATATGTTTATTTGTTTGAATCAGGCCAATGTATGTTTTCTCTTTGAAATTTTGGCATATAATCTAGAGTCTTTAGGTAACCACCATGGTGTTCTGGAGGTTTTGCAATAGGATAGATTGGATTTAGCTGACGAAAAATGTTGTTGCTTCACTATTGCTTATTTTTCTTTAAAAAGCTATGCATTATAAATAGTATTTGATATATTTGATCATACTGGCCTTCTCTTCTAGCCATTTTCTACCACAATAATCATCATAATCACAACTAGGCATTCTGACTTTGTCAGGATTACCCAATTTCAACTGATTTTAATCGTGTCATAAATGGTTAAATGCCCTAGCCATTTCAAAATGTGGAAAATTACAAGTGAGGTGTGGTTTTATTTGTAAAAATAAGCAAATGCTAGGCCTTTTAATCTAAGTATATAACTACACTTGTGATATTTATGTGTATGTGGTACTTTTCTCATTATAAGGCTATTCTTTTTATTCTTTGCCGATTAAATGTTAGTTTTTTCTGAGAATCTATCTTTGGCCTTCTTTTGATGCTACATTCTCTCCAAATAATCTCATCCATGCCTACATCTTCAGTCATTACCTGGACATTCAGTTCAAAAGTGAATTTTTTCTTATCATCCCTAAATCTGCTCCATTTTCATTGACTCTGATATCTGTTAATGATCTCACTGCCCATTCAGGAAGTGAAAACAGAAACCTTGGTCATTTCTAACTTGTTTCTTACCCTCAGGCATGTACTCAGTCATTAAGTTATATTGATTCTATATCAGAAATCACTCAATATTCTCCAGTTTTACTGACACCGGGAAGGCTTCTAGATCGTTTCTTAATCCTATTGCAATAACGGCATCACAGGTCTACCAGCTTCCAGTTTTATGTCCTTCAAGGACATTTTCCACACTGAAATTTTCTAAATGCAAAAATGCCCATTTTTTAACCTAACATAAAAATTTTCTACTCCCTGTTGCCTTTAAAATAAAGGTTAAACCCCTTAATAGGTTATATGTGATCAATGACTTACCTTTCTGGTTTTATTTGCAAAATCTCTCTCATAAATTTTGATCTATTCATACTATATTACATATAATTCCTTACTACCTTTCCATATTTATATTCTTTATTATAAAAATTTGGAGAACTAGTCAGTACCTCCAACACTGACCCTGTAAAATTAGGTGATTTATCTGTACTCCCAAAGCAAACTCACAAACTATAACAATTATTTTATTGTATTAAAATTATAAATTTGTGTCTCTAATTTCTAAACATTGAACATAAGTCTAAGATAGTGCCTTGGTCATTGTATGTTTCTGGCAGTAGTCACCCCAGTACCCCAAACATAGCAAGGAACCCCATAAATACTTATATAATTAATGATTGACTAAATATAATTCCTTTTTATATACTTGAACATTTTTCTTACATTGCCGATAAAAAATATCAGTGTGAGTTTTTATTTTTTGGTTCAGAAAAATACAATAACCATAGTATTTACTTGTTCCTTCATCATCTTTGTAGGATTAAGTTACATAAAATGCTTAAGAAACTAAGTTGTACCAATCAGTACGTTTATCTTCCTAGTATTTCAAAAACTGGTTATAGGTATGAAAAAAGCCTTCACTTTTAAATGTTTTTCTTACTCATAACACTTTTTGTGAAGTGTTTGCTCTTGTTAAGCAAACAAATCCTATGAAGAAATACTCAAGGAACTTCTCTAAAAATCTATCAAACTATTTTAAGGCCCTTTTGTTTAGAGGATATAGCAACTTACTCAAATAAGCTTAAGCAGAACAAGATACAGGTATTATTGGGATGCAGAGTATGCCATGAAGCTCAAAGGCAAAAGTAGAGTTGAGCTGTCCCAAAGAGTAGAATTGATTTGGAAGGCTGACTGGAATCATAATAATATCTTTCTCTGGCAAAGATGCCAACACCTAAATAAATCTCAATTTTTCTCACTGAGATTACATGACATCTTGACTTTTTTCCTTGTAATCGCTTTATTATCCTCATTGTGTAGAGAATAGGTTTCTCTGATGCTTGTGCAAAATGAAGCTTAATTCTCTGAAAGTTTCAAAGTTTATGTGCTCTCCTAGTTCCTATGCTTACTGCTATAACTAGCATAATTATATGAAAATCCTGGGTGAGAACTTTGGCCCAGCTGTAGTTGAGGGCAAATCTCTGAAGAAGAAGGCATGAATTTGCTGTGAATTACAGCACTATACAGACTTGAGACCAACACTTCATTAATTCCCCTTTCTAAATCCTAACTAAAAAATATAAGAAAAAAAATTGGGAAAGCAGTATATCAGTTCTGAAATTAAAGATGGATATTTGCCCAAATAGGTACAAGATTTGATGATCAGACTCCAAAGTCTAATTAACAGTTTTAACTTGAGTAGGTTTTCTTCATGGAAAAGAAATAATAGTTTCGCCCTCACTAACTTGAGGGATGAGGAAAATTAGTGGAAGATCCAACACTGCTCATCACTTTCATTCTAAAGCAGCTGTAGTGGGACAACCAAGAATGTATTAGGCCATTCCAAGTGGAAAAGTGACCTCTCTTTAAATATAGAAGGTTCTTTCCTCACATGGAAGGCATCATCACCAGCAAGAAATCTTATAGTCCTGGCCACATTCCCATTTATGAAGGTCACAGTATTACTTAACTAATAATGTAAACATGTGTACACTAAATGATCTGAAGAGTTTATTCTAACAGCACCTACATATGAAGTGAGAAGGCCCAAAGAAAAACCACTTACCTTATTTGGAGCATTTGAAAAGTTTTGAAAAGCTTGTAATTGTTCATGAATGAATAAACAAGAAAAGCAACAATGTGGAACCTATGAAAGAGCATATACACCACAAAACGATAAAGTCACAGTCTTCAAGAGGTAGAGAATGAAGTTATATTTAGAAAATATGTTCTAAATATGAGTATAAACAAAAAATTATAGATTGCATCTGTTAATTCTTAAAAATTTCAAGTGAGCATGGAGTTAGTGAACTAAGACATGAAATAAAGATAAAACAAGAAACTAGAATGAAAAGATTACTGGCTGAGAGGCAGGAATGGAAAAGAAACATAATGATGTGATAGGGAAAAGTCATAAGATAATAAACCTGGCATTTGCAGAATATAAAGCTGCATTAGAGGCAGGAAAGAGCAAAATAATCACTGCAGAAAATTAAATTAATAATGTGAAGATCTAGCTAGATAGACCCTAATAGAATAAAGAGGAAATGGACAAGATAAAAATTTTAAAATTAAAAGTATGTTGAATAAAAGTAGGAAAAAAATTAAAAAAGAAAATAAAAGTAGGACATTTTACAAATTGAATGGATAGCATTCCAACAGAACAGAACAGATATGATTAATAGAACAGAAGCAATCAAAAATATGATTCAGGATAACTTGTCAGTTGAAGAAAAACCTGAATCTGTAAACTGAAAGAGTCCATTTTGTTTTGATAAGTTTAACAAAGATGCTAACATCTAAATATATCCTGGTGAGTATTTGGAATTTCCAGCATAAGAAAATAAAATCCACAAACATTCTGATATCTTTGCATCTTACAACCTAACATGAAGCTTGTCCTATAAATAAAAAAATCCAAAATTGGAGACTAGATAACTTAAAAATCTTTTTGGGGCAGGAATTACTGAAGATCATAGCACCTTGAAATGCTCAATAAACTGTAACAAGTGTCCCTTTAAATGAATACCTGAATTTGCCGTTTAAGTGAATGCTGATTTAATTAGGATTAAAATAAATTCTCAAAGTACAAAAAAATCATGTGGTAAATGAAAACCAGAGCTGTAAGGGGGAACATACTTCAACTGCACTGAGGACATTTTTAGACCTTGGTGGAGCTTTTGTTTAAAATGGCCTCACAGAGATGGAAGGCAGGTTGTTTAATGCCTGCAGTTTAGGATTTCTTAGCCCCCTGTAAAAAGCTAGCATCCTACAAAGATCATAACCTCAGTGAAAGCATAGATTAGAAAATAAAACCGCTCCACTGACAAAAGGAGAAAATAAGGAAGTTTGCATTTCTCGGCTTGGGTTCCTGGGAGCAGGGGAGGAATGTGTGCTCATGTATAGGATGCCTCTCCTGAGAATATTTAATCAACTGCCTCCTCTCAAGTAGGTTTCAAATTTTAATCTGTATTAATTGTGTGGTTTAGGAACCACCAATAAAATACTTTATCAGAATAGTTGCAGGCCTGTAACATATACTCTACAGGCAGAAGCTAATACAAAACCCTATGTTGGGACACATCCTCAGACCAAGACCTGCAGGTTCTTGCAGCTAAAGCCCCACTGAAGTTTGTGTTCACAATCTAAAAGCAAAATAGACATACACACACACTTACACACATACTGCAAATGATATTGAGATACAACAGGATTAGAACCTGCCAATAATGTCAGTAGACATAGTAAGATCATCACATATGACTACTATAATTAGTGACATAAAAATAAATGTAAGAGGAAAAAATGTATATAATTCTAACAGAGACTTAGAATATAAAAAACAAAATTGACCTATGTAGGGGAAATTTCATAGATAATAAAGAATTCTAACCCAGTAATTGAAGAATACACAGGAATATGTATAACACTTAGAAAATTAATTATATGACTAAACATATTCAATAAATTTCAAAGACTTGATATACAGGCTACAGTATATCAAGTATAATTACTTAATTACCACAAGGCAATTAAGCTTAATCAATAATAAAAGGCATTAAAAAAAATCACACAAGTGTATATATTTGGGGATTTTAAAAATTTAACTCACCAAAGAATTAACTCATAAATTTAAAGTCTATGTATCAGAACCTGTGGGGTGCAGCAAAAGTGAATATAGAATTAAATTTCTAAGTGCTTAAATTAGGAAAAAGACATTCATGATGTAAGAAAACAAGTTAAAAACACTGCATGGTTACTCAAAAGAAGAAGGAAACTAATAAAGACATGAGCAAAGATGAATAGGTGGAAGGGAAACATTCAAAGAACAAAAATTTCAATCTTGTGTGAAATTTTCCAAAGCATTGAAAAAGAGAAAATATTCTTAAATTCATTTATTGATTCTAGGATAGTTTTACAAGTCAAGTATGGGAAAAGAAAATTAGTTAGATACATTTTCTCTGAAGTTAGAATAGGAAAAGGATGCCCACTGCCATTGTTTCTGTATGTCATTGCACTTTTAGTCATAACCTGAGCAGTAAAAGAAGAAAAATGTGGAGAGAACCAAATTGCCATTATTCATGTGTGATTTGTGATTGTTTACATAGAAGACTCAATCTACCAATGTGATTTCAGAATTGATGAGAGTCTAGAAAGATTGTCAGATATTTAAAAAATCAATATATAAACATCAACCATGTTCTATACATCAGCAACAAACAAAAAAAAAAAGGAATTTTTAAAAATCTCCCTTTACAATAGCAACCAAAGTGCTAAAACCTAGGTATAAATCTAATAAAAGTGTAATAAGACCTTTAAGGGAAAAAATATAAAATTCTATCAAGGATTATTCACCTAATCTTTAACAATAAGATATAATTTTTATATTCAGTAGATTAGCAAAATATGGAAAGTCTGACATTAACAAATTTTGTTGAGGATATGAAGCATCAAGGATATGGTGGGAAAATAAATTGATGCTACCATTTATTGAGCCATTTGTTACTGCGGAAGTTATACTATGCATTCCTTATCATCTAGGAATCCATTCTTAGCTCTATATTGTCTGGAAACAAGACAAAATATTTGAATTCAGGCCTCTCTGGAAAATTGTTGACATATGATTGTAGTGGATACAATACACCTACAAGAAAAAGCCTTACTGAACAATGAAGGAAATGAATTATATTTCAAGGAACATTTCAAAGATTGTCTGAGTCATTAGTTTTAGGACTATAAATTTACTTTGAGTTTTCATTACAAAATTATATAGGAAACATCACCAGTCAAACATGGCATGGATGGCCTGGAAAATCCACAGCATCCCCAGATGGAGAGCTGTTGGGAGTGAAAGCATGTACATGTGATTATTTGTGAATGAATACACTGTGTGAATTCATAGTATATCCATCTATCCATGTAGATGCTAGTAATATAAGTTAATGTATTTCTTTCTAGAATGATTATGTAAATATATGTCTCATTAAAAGTGTTCCTATTTTTCCATATAAAACTATAATAAAAATTTTGTTTTTCAACAGTTTCGTGATGCAGTCAATTATGCTGTTCACTTGTAACTAAGACGATGAAAAATTAACAAGTAATAAAACAGAGAGAGTAAAGAAGAGTAAAATAAATATTGCAATAAGAAGTATAACCTTCATTGCCTATTAAACTTCCAAATACTCATTTATATGTGACTTTAGTCTTTGTAGAAAGACTAATTAATCATCTTAGAAATCAAAAGTAGGAATAGTCCAATAAACTGCACAATTACAACTGAAGTGTTAAAGCTGTTTTTTATACCCACTATCATTTTCAAGGTTATGGTGAATTTAGTTTGAATCAATATGTTTAAATATGTTGAGGCAAGTAAAGTGCCCTGTCAGCAAAGTAAACACAATTATTCTTCCATTTCAAAGGATATAAGATGATAATTTATTAAAGTATTTCCCGAGAAGAATTTTGGTTGGTTAAAAAAAGGATATCCAAAGAATTTCCTTTAATCTTTATATAAAACGTTTTTGGTATGTATATTCAAGGGTTTTTTTTCATTCTATTTCTATGTGTAGTACAGTAATGAACATGTATGGATGGGTAACTTCTTGTAGGTATGTTATTTTATATGTTATTTAATCTCTGTTTATTCTTTTTGATCAAGCACGCAAGTCATCAGATGCATCTGGTAGGAAAACCTTTTTTTTTTTTTTTTTTTACAGAACAATTCTGTTACTTTGATTATTGTAAGCTAAATTTTTGTGAGATATTTTTGTGGCAATTAGAATATTTTGTATTGTTTTTACGGTTCTGTTTACTGAAAATATTTTTAGTGGATGTGGGGAGGGGGAGAGTATTTTTAGAAATACCAAGTAGAGCTCTAAAGAGGTGGATGTTTTTAAATAGGGATGGAAGAAGACAGACTAATGTATTCCCCTAGATGTACATTTTCTAGAGATTTTGGCAAGATTTTGTAAGAGATTGTTCTCTTCTGTTATTTAATGATAGAACTTGGTATTTTCATAGGTAACTTCCCTTTGTTTCCATTCTGTTTTGTTCTTTCTGGCATACACTAAATAATTCTTAAATGGGCCGGGCGCGGTGGCTCAAGCCTGTAATCCCAGCACTTTGGGAGGCCGAGGCGGGTGGATCACGAGGTCAAGAGATCGAGACCATCCTGGTCAACATGGTGAAACCCCGTCTCTACTAAAAATACAAAAAATTAGCTGGGCATGGTGGCGCATGCCTGTAATCCCAGCTACTCAGGAGGCTGAGGCAGGAGAATTGCCTGAACCCAGGAGACGGAGGTTGCGGTGAGCCGAGATCGCGCCATTGCACTCCAGCCTGGGTAACAAGAGCGAAACTCCATCTCAAAAAAAAAAAAAAAAACAAAAACAAAAAAATTCTTAAATGGAATAATGCTTTTATTAAGGTAAATGAGGGAGATGAAAATAATGACAAAGACAGTAGAAGGAACATAAATTATCTTTTCAGCAACAAATTTTTCAACGGTTATTACAAAATTGACACTGTTAAAAACATATTATTGTTTATGGTTCCTAATATTTTATCTTTTTCTAATAGAAAATTTTATAATAGCCTTGTTCCTTATTCTCTACAAAAATAGCCATCAGGGTTTAACTTATTGAAACCTCTAATCCTCATCATCCCTCATTATTTTATCTGGATCCCCGCTCCCTTAGCAAAAGATCTTGCCATCTATTTCCCAGAAGAAATAGAATCTAGCAACTGTGAACTAACTCAGTTTACTCCTCTTTCTACCCATCCATTGAAAAGTATCCCTATGCCAAAAAATACCTCGATGATTCAGCACCTGCTTGCCTGGGCACTTCATCTCCCGCTGATGTTTTACATGTACCCAATGCTGTGGTTATTAAAGTCAGTTGCTATTTCCTGGATAAACCATGCTCTTCTTCCATCCCATTTATGTAAGATCACCTCAGCCTAGAAGGTCTTTTTCCCCAACTTTATCTGCCAGAGGAATTCTTTATCTTTCAAGATTCAGCACAAATGCTGTGTCCTCTATTATGCCTTACCTTACTGTCCAAGAATTTCCCTCTCCCAGCTCTCACAGCACCTTATAATTGCCTTTTGTTGTTGCCTTTGTCCCATTCCATTATGATGATTCATGTAAACTTCTCATTTCCTTAACAGTGGTGATACATTTATTCTTTGTAGTATTCAGAGTCTGGCTCAGAATCTGACACCACTAAATGGTGCTCAATAAATATTGTTGAAAATATTGTTAAATCAGCACTGAGGAGGTAGAACGACTGAAAAATACTAGTCTTTCCAAAGGGAATAAACCAGGTTTTTTAATTCATAGTGTCTTTCCTGCAGTAGATTTTGACTGAATAACATAACTTCAGAGATGGTATTGCGATAGTTACAGGATACGTATTTCAATATTTACTTCTTAATATTATTATGAGGACTATTGTTATTAGAACTTAAAGTTTTTGTTAGTTTTTGTTTTAAGGAAAATAAGAAGGGTATTGATTTTGGCACTAAAGAGCAGTTACTGATTTTACTTCTTTACCGTTTAATTTTAAGATAACTTATTTGAATAATGCAGTCAAATAATTGAATTTGTACATTAACATTTTATTTCTGTATATAGTATTCTGAAAAAAATGTGTATTGGTGACTTCATGCTAATATGTTATTTTTATTCATATGATTTAATCATTGTCTAATTTATTTTTTGGACTCAAGCTTGCTCCTCTTCAGAAATATCTGGTAGGCAATTACTTTTTAATAAAACAAATATTACCTTTAAAATTTTTTATTTATTGTTTGCAAGTTTTTACTTTCCTTATAAAGTTATATTTTTATTAATTATATCGAGCTGATAAAATATTTTCATTGATGAAGGACATGGCTTGTTTAGTTTTGTTGGGTTTTACCTATATAAATGATTTATATTGCAATTTCTTGTGTAATACTTTAGAAAGAATAACTATAGCATCATGAAACAGTAGAAGTTGTACAAGCTAGTATAAGAAAGATTAATATATACCACTGAAATTAGATTACCCAGGTTAATGAGTAGTTTTTGAAAATACATTTATACTGTTGTAAACTTTGCATGAAACAGTGAATATTTTAACTGTATATTTACCCTGGAAAGTTTTTATTCTGTTTTTTTCTATTGTCGGTTTGTTCCTTTTCTGTTTTTCTTATATAAATTGAATAAAAGTTAGAGCCGTGTAAAAGAAGAAGGTGAAATTCGTCTTATTAAAAAGAAACTGGAGAACTCAACATTTAGAGTTGTAATCTGTTTATGAATCTTAAAGTAGATTTATAAACTCTAAATACGAAATATGAATGATACTCTTTCACGACTTGGATAATGGTATACTATAGCAACATACTCTTTTTATCATAAGCAGTAACCTAGTTTATCTTACACAGCACCCAAACATATTTAATAAATACATTTGTTAAATGTTAACAGTGAAACATTCTTGTCATAGTAGAGTTATCTAAATTATGTGGGATGAAGTATGCTGTGCTCTAATTTTCAGGTCAGTTTTCCTAATGTTTAAAATAAACTTTGACATCTGATTTTTAAACTATGTTCTAGGTATAAATACATTAAAAATTTGAAGTGAGAATAAGAACTAAGTTGTGCTTTTATATACTTGTAAAAATTGATAAAAATTGTCTTTTTTTTCATCTCATGAATGTGGGTGAATGTTCCTGCAAAAAAATCTTTAATGAACATATAGATTCCTTTGGTATGCTCATTTCCTTTAGAATGCAATGCAATAGACTCTTTAAATGATACAAACAGAAAAAATATATATTTGAAAATGTATACTTCGGAAATAAATTATTTTTTGTATGTGTCCTCTTTTTGGTAGTACCTAGTTTTCTCAGATATTGACCAATACAGAATAAAATGTATTGCAGAAAAATCCTTTGAAGTATTTTTTTCTTATGAAGAATTATTAATCACTGTTAGATGCTTTGGATTTAGGTACCTATCATCACACAGCTAGGAAGTATTAGAGCTAATATTGTAACTCAGATGTGCCAGGCTCCAAAACCATCACAATGGTTTAAGCGGTTAAATGTAGATATGGCTTATATATTAGAACACAATAAGTAAAGCAAAAAATTGAGAACTTGAAAGCATATGCTTTTAGGGAATTCTGGGTTGAATGTGAAGCAGTATTTGAATCTGACTGTCTCTCTCACATCTTACTTTATTATCTGCAAATGCTTTATTTCAGTGGATAGAAATTTTTTAAATAGCTAGATAAGAGAAAAGTATTTAGAAGTTACATACACCAATATCTAAATGTAATAAAATTCAAAGCAAATACATGTGGTTCTAGATTGCCTATTGTTTTAGGGTTACACATAATCCAGTATATTGTGAAATATTTCTTTTTGGTAGATTTGTTATTAAAAGATGTATATTTTGGTTAACTTATATTTTTACAAAGAATTAACTATGTGCATCTTTGCATCTACATAGTACACATATAAACTAAAAATTTCACGTGTAGATTTTTTATATGACAAAAAAATGTTTCGAGAACAGGTTTTCCTCATGGAACTACTAACAACGTCATACTTAGTGCCCATCCTTTAATGTACTCTTAAAGGAAATCCCTTTATATATTGATGTAATTTGTAAAATTTAATATATTTGATTAATACCCATTTCTGATAATTGTCACATAAGACCTTTATGAAAACTTTTATTTACTTTCTTTAGTATTTGACAATAAACTCAGGAATATTGATGAGTACAGAGAATATTTTAAAGAATTTCTTGCATATTCTATTAGTGAATAAAGTTAAATAATACCTGAAATTTTTCTTTTAGCTTATCACCAAGGAGGGAAAAGGAATTTTTTTCAACTTATCATCTTTGACAAATACTGCCAGTCCATCCTTTGATCATTTACTTTTTTCTTAACTCCAGATCCCCTTAACATGAGGTGACAGGAAAAGTGGAAACAGGATGTTAAGGATGTTTTTTTTTACCTTCCCTGACTCTCTTCTTTGTCTCTAAATTATTTATACTCATGTAGGCATCTGGAGAGTTTATATTGCAACTTGATGTGCAAGTTCTATAAATAAAGATAACTAAAAATATTTTTCACAAGAAACAAGAGATGTATTTTGGGAATCACAAGTTGTTGTTTTTTTAAAATGCCACAGTGCATGTTGCAATAAATTACGTTTTTAATTTAATTTATAGCCATCATGTCCATGTGAATGCCGTGTGCAGATATGTCTGCTCCATGCGAAAAAATAAAATCTTACCTATGAAACCACTCTTTTTCAGTTGTAACTAGTACATTAATTTTTAGAAGTAAGAATGACTTGAACCATCCTTAATTCCAAGAAAACAACACTTTGGCCAGCACAGTGGCCCACACCTGTAATCCTAGCACTTTGGGAGGCTGAGGCAGAAGGATCATTTGAGGTCAAAATTTCAAGACAAGCCTGGGCAACAGAGTGAGACCCAATCTCTATAAAAAATAAGAAAATTAGCCAGATATGGTGGTGCACATCTGTAGTCCCAGCTACTTAGGAGGCTCAGGCTGGGGGATTGCTTGAGCCTAGTAGTCTGAGGCTCTAATGGACTGTGATCATGCCATTGTATTCCAGCCTGAGTCACGGAGCAAGACCCAGTCTTAAAAAGAAGTAATAAAAAGAAAAAAGAAAATGTAAGAATTTGCCCTCCTTAATCCACCCCTCAAGAAGAATTAGATTATATTTGGATGATTAGCTGAAATTCTTTGATTCATTGTTTTAGTACATGAGATTTTCCTACAATGGGAAAGTTCTAAGTTTAAAAATTCTTTTTCTCAATTTTTCTAAAATAGGCATTCTGAGAGTATTTTACAAGAGAACACAAAGAATAGTTTATACAGTGTAGTAAAATAATGTCTTCAGAGATTCATACTCCTGTTACTTAAAAACTAATGTCTGCTTTTGGTGCCTGTCATCATCATTTTGAAATCTCAAAGCATTTAAAATGCCAAAAGCCGTTTTGGTTAGTAACAGTGTTTTGCCAAAGGTATGACATTGGTATGACATTTATAAAGAAGGAAAAATAAAATATACTTTAGAATAGGTACCTATCTCACTTTAATACTACTGTATCAATTGGAACATTAAAGAATTTGTGAGTTCTTTGCTAGTATAGTCAAGTTTTATTCTTTTACCCAAAGATATGAACAACAATACATTTTGTTAATGCCTTTTTATCCCTTTGGAATATTTTTTCTATTTATTTTTAAACATCTGATGTTGTTTTCTAAAATAGCTTTTGAAAAGGGGGAAACTTTTAACTGGTTCATTTAATTTACAAATTAAAAACTTCAAACCATAGCTCTATAAAATAATATGTATATTTGATACCCCCATTATTAATCAATATATAAACATTTGGTTTTGAATTGCTTTACTTTAGTGTACATTTTAAATTGGGTATTCAGACATTTAGTTTATGCTGCAAATTTAGAATGAGATTGTTAAACTGGATTTTTTGTTGGTGATGTTTTGTTCTGTTTTTACATCTTTGTTGGTGTCATTTATGTGTTAGTCTGCTTTTATTTTTTCCCTTTACCCTTAGTAAAAAAAATATATATATATACAAATCTGATAACATAAATCCTTACACCTGAAAACAGCTCTTTATAAAAATCAATTATTTTTGAAACTCCACAAATGTTCATGTTCTCCAGATGTTTTCAGTTCTTGTGTCTAAAGGCTCTGTTAGTATCACTGATGGCCTTTTTACAATCCCTATTTTGTCCTAGATTAATTTCTGAGTTACATTACTTTCTGGTATGTTTTCAGGAATAGAATTTTTGTTATGACATTTGAAATTATCAAAATGGTTTCCTTATAGAACAATGTTAGAGATTCTTAGAGATTTGAGAAAGTTCTTAGAGATACTAAATAGCTCTCTGATGTATCATGATAAAATATACATTTTATCACAATAGATGACATGACTGTTTTTAGCAAGAAAACATGTAATATAAATATTCTTATACATAATTAAATATTCTTACAAGACAAATTTGTTTTTATATGTATATTTTCAGTGAAAGAGTTTCTAGCCAAAGCCAAAGAAGACTTTTTGAAAAAATGGGAGAATCCAACTCCGGTAAGGAATACTTAGATTTTTCTACAATTTAAAGATCTTGTGTTAATAAAATCATGATTCTTGCCTAAGAAATTTATTACTTCAGAAATTTTAATTTTCTTAGTAAACAGAAGCTTAAACAGACCACTTTAATGGCCTTAGTAAACAGAAGCTTAAAATGAGAATTTTGCCAGTTATACTTTGATGTATTAATTAATCTTAATGTATATCTAAATTGCAGAAGGAACTAATTTCCAGTATAATACCTAATTATAAATTTTGATACTAATTCCAATTGCTATAAAATTTTAATATTTTCTAATATATTAATTTTGAATTATGCCTTTAATAGCATACTTAATATTTTTATTAAATACAAAAATAAGAGTCCTTTTGTGCAGTTTAAAATTCTCAGTCATAGAGAATTTGGCTATCAACAACATTCCTGGTACACAGGCATCTTTTTTATCATTTTGATGGGGCATGCCCTATATAATTTAAGGTATAGATCTTAACTAGATCTAAAAACTGTATATAAAAAGAACCATCTATAATTTATAAAAATAATCTTTTTAGAGTTATAAATAATGAATAAATTGTAATAGTAAATTTTAAAGTCTTTTCTTTCTAGCTCAAAAGTTTATATTTCAAGTATTTTGTCACTAAAGAATTCTAAATAAATGTTAAAGATGCCATTACTACCAAGATTTAGAGTATGACCTGTAAGTTAAAACATAGTCACAAAGATTAAACATTGTGATTACAAAATGTAGACATTGTGTAACATGAAACAATAAGAGAATTAAGGAAGATATCATATTTTTATAATACAAAGAAAAGCAATGAAAAAACCATAAAGAGCAAAAATGTGTGTTCTGTTGCCTATTAATAAAATTTGTTTTAATTATTTAGTTGAGTCTGTGGTAAGATTTTAATCCATCTATGTTGATAAAACCTAAAATTAAAGATTAATTAAATTAATTCAATCAGAATTATGAGTTTTTACATTGATTAAAAAATCTCATAACTAAAAATTACTTTAAATTTTAAATTGTGAAATCAAAATATAATGAAAACAAGTTATAGGTAAAAAAACAGAATTGCTTGCTCTCTGTAATGATCCAACAGGAAGCTAAAATGGGTCTCAAAAGGCAACGTTTGATTTGCAATACAGATACAATCCAACTACAGTGAACTCCTGTACCTATTCAGATTCCTCACTGGATGAAGAATCATATTGCATCACATTTTTCTCAAGCTAAGCACTGCATACTGGGCCTTCAAAATATTTTTCTGATATTTTCATGGAGTTCTTTGCATTGAAAACCTATTAAACAAATGGGTCAGCAATTACTGCTTGTTGCTATTTAACACATAAATTGTTCTAATAATTTTCATTTTGTTGTGGCAAGAACAAATTTAATAAATTGATGCCTCCAATTATTTGCTTCTTTTCGGTAGTCAAAGCCAAACAAAGATGTTTCCTTATAACAAAACATCTATTCAAGAAAAAAAGAGTCCGATTATTGTTCTGGGATTCTGGCTCTTGGTTCTTTGTAGAATGAGGAACCCTTCTTTCCTTATTGTTACTGTTTTAGATAATACTGTGTTATTACAACATACAGAGAGAAAGCCACTAGGCTCTCTCATGCTGCTATTATCTAGCTCTACAAGCTTATATAAGACAGAAATGAAGCAAGACAGATTTCTTCATAGGTAACTTTAGTGAAAGGGCTCTGATTCCTTAGTTTATCTATTCATTACAGTTATTTGCAAATGCATTAAGTTTGTGTGGCTTCTATGACTGTAAGTATGCCTTTAGTCAGTTTGTAATTATTAAAATACGAAACTGATTTATTAGAAGTTCAGTACTAAGATTAAAAGTTCAATACTAGGAATGCATACTGGCATGTAATCTTTAATATTTCAGCTGAGGCTCTTATTTCCTTCTATTACTATTTTGCTCTGTTTTGCAATACATTATCTCCTCAGATATTAAATCCTTTCTTGTTTAAAGGGAAAAATAGAACCAATAACCTGGAATCTCAATAGCCTTTTGTATTGCTTTTAAATGGATAGTTATAAATTGAATCATCCATTATGATTATGTATTATTAAAGCATTTATAATTCTCATAGTGTTTTTATGAGAAATTTTAATTTTATTTATATATTTATATGTAGAATAATGCTGGACTTGAAGATTTTGAAAGGAAAAAAACCCTTGGAACAGGTTCATTTGGAAGAGTCATGTTGGTAAAACACAAAGCCACTGAACAGTATTATGCCATGAAGATCTTAGATAAGCAGAAGGTTAGTATATTTGTTGTTATTTACCTTTAGGGTAAACTTTAGTTTTATCAGCTAGACTATTAAACAGATTCAGTATAATGACTTAACATTGACACCTTGAAATAATTTTATTATTACATTTAATTTTTAACCTTATTTATTGTAACTATATTATTCATAGTTAATATACAGTCAGCCCTTCCATATCTGTGGGTTCTACATCCATGGATTTAACCAATCACAGATTGGAGATATTTGGGGGAAAAATTACATCTATACCTAACATGTACAGACTTCTTTTTCTCATTATTTCTTAAAGAATACAGTATAACAACTGTATACATAGCATTTACAACATATTAGGTATTATAATTAATACCTAATATTTGGTATTTAAATAATTTAAAATATATGGAGAATGTGCTTTATGCAAAGCCTCTGTCATTTTATATAAGTGTCTTGAGTACCTGGGCATTTTGGTTTCTGCCATAGGTCCTGGATCCAACCCCCAGGAATACTGATGGACAACTGTAATTTATTGTGACAATTATGGACTAATTTGTTATGTAACTAGTTAAAATGTGTACAGTAGTGACCCAACCACTTCATGTTAGAGATTTTGAAAACCTGAAGTCCAAAGAGTTGAAGTCATCTCCAGAGTCAGAAAGTTAGTTAAATAGAAGGCCTAGATTAAAACACAGATCTGAAAGGAAAAAAAAAAAACAAAAAAAAACCACAGATCTGGCTCCACTCAGTTTTTTGCTGAATATTATTGGTATACTCCTAATTTTATATATCAATACCTGGCTGGTGTCTTTAATTACTTTTCTTATTCATATTTATTTAACGTCTTGACTTCTGTGACTATTTTCACATTGACAATTAGACTCTAGCAAGAAAGAATGCTACCTTCTAATGATTTACACATATACGAGAAAATTATTTATATGTTTTGCTAAGGTCACCACTTCTTAAATTCAAAATAGAATCACATATGGAATAGAATTACAGTCTTCGTGAAGCCAACATAAATTACTTACCCCTTCTATAGAAAATCCAGAAGAAGTAGAAAATCCGGAGGAGGCTTAAGTCTAAGTGACTGAGGATATAAAGATAGTTTTTGTTACGAAGATGGTTTTTTCCCCAATATTTTGTGTGCCCTCTTCTATGGCAGTATAAATTAAATTTTGAGAATGTATACCTATATTTATTTAGATATTATACAGTGAAGATTGTTCATTTTTACTCACTATTTTTTAATTATGGACTTTCTCTTCGTTCTTAATTTTCTTACTGATCTTCTGAAGTATTTGAAATCAGTATCTAGTTATTGCAGAGATTTCGACCAGCTTTTATAGAGGACTTTAAGTCATTAGGACCTTAGTATTTTCACATTAATTTTTAGTTTATTTTAGGTAATTGTATAGTTTAATTGACATAACTAGTTTTTAAGTAATTTCTTATGGGTCTGTTTCTTATTCCTACTTAGCTCTCACTTCTTAATTAAAGCTGTAGTTGACCTTCATAAGACCAAGTTTTAAATCCTCTATTAGGTTTTTATTTGAATCCTATTATAAAAGTAATGACAAAAGCCATAATTAATTATGCACCAATATAATTGTTGGTAATTGTTGTTATCTTCCTTATTCAATTCTAACAGTTTTGCTTATCCAAGTTCATTACTTGATAATATAATGTTTTAATTTTGCTAAAATACATTAAAAGATATTTATCTCTCAATTACAGGTCGTTAAACTGAAGCAAATAGAGCATACTTTGAATGAGAAAAGAATATTACAGGCAGTGAATTTTCCTTTCCTTGTTCGACTGGAGTATGCTTTTAAGGTAAATTTTAGCAATATCTAAATAAGATATTTTCAACCTGATTTTTTAAATATGAAGCTATAAATAGGATTCTAAACCAGATAAGCCTAGAGAATATAATTAAACAAAACAAATATCTTTAGAGTTTATGTAATTAAATCCTATTGTGCTTATAAACTCAGCTAACATTTGAAAAGGTTTTGATTCTCTTTGGAGAAATTGTTCAAGGTGATATGTGCAATTCTTCATGAGTTGCTATTACAAAATGAGATATTTCAGTTTATCAAAAACCATAGGAATATCTTATTAAACAATTCTTATACTTACACAAATAAATACACCCAACACATCTTCTACTTTTATTTAACCCTTTTTGCCACTATCTCACCAAATTCTTTTTTTTTTTTTTTTTGAGACAGAGTCTTGTTCTGTCGCCAGGTGCCAGGCTGGAGTGCAGTGGTGCGATCTCCGCTCACTGCAACCTCCCCCTCCTGGGTTCAAGCAATTCTCCTGCCTCAGCCTCCCAAGTAGCTGGGACTACAGACACGCGCCACCACGCCCAGCTAATTTTTTATATTTTAGCAGAGACGGAGTTTCACTATGTTGGCCAGGATGGTCTTGATCTCTTGACCTCGTGATCCACCCGCCTCGGCCTCCCAAAGTGCTGGGATTACAGGCGTGAGCCACCATGCCCGGCCCATCTTCTTTTACTTAGTAATTTGAGTTCTAGTCTTTTCACTTATTCAAAGCAGAATAATTTTTGTTTCACTATTCAAGTGTCTGAAAAATTTTTACAAGATTCATTATTTAAATTGGCCACTTTTCAGCTCTTTGGAATAATACCGGCATCACTCTGCAAGATTGAATCATATGAAACATTTTAATCTTTTTTCCCCTTTATTCTTTAGATTAAATGAAGACCTATGTATTTAAGATATTAAAATATAAATATTCTTGAATTATACATAAAATGTAAATATTCTATTAACTTTTTCAAATTGTTTTTTCACTTTGTTATTTATTTGCATATATTATAGCCCTATTTCATTGCCTGAGAGTTTTAATTGTTCGAGAACTAGATGGTCTCTGCAAGAAAAGGAAGAGCAAAAGTCCCAGACTAATTTGTGAAAAAAAATAACTAGGAGGGGAAAAACATGAGTGTCTCTATATAGAAAAGCTAGAGCGTGTTTCATTGATTCTTTATTTCTCAAGGTTGTTAATCTGTCAGAAGGATATTAAATTTTTCTTTTTCAAATTCAACATGATGTGATATTAAAATAATTTTTACCTAAATTTAATAATTTTATTTCCTTTTTATTTTTTCATAGGATAATTCTAATTTATACATGGTTATGGAATATGTCCCTGGGGGTGAAATGTTTTCACATCTAAGAAGAATTGGAAGGTTCAGGTAACTAATGCTTCTGCGTTCTTCAAATCTTGTATGCTTGTGTTGTTTAACCAAATTCTTAAGGCCAATGCCAAAAATTTATTTTGTTTGATTAATATTTTAGCCATATGAAGCGTTAGGTGGAAACAAAGAGGCTACATCATACACAAGTTTTAAAATTCAAATTAAAGAACTTTGAAGACAATTTAAATGTTATACTAGTAATAGGTTTTATGAAGGTCCACTATTTGAAGATTTTTCAGAAAATGCAAAAATTAATTGAATTTTAAAATATCAATATTAAACAAATATTAATAATATAACGCTGGGACAAAAGATTGTGTTAAGGATGAAGATGGAAAATAAATATATAGAGAAATAATAATGGTATTATGGTAATAAAATTATTAAAGTTTGTTTTTCATAAATTTAATTCTCCTTAAAGTTCTTTCTAAGTTTAGTTTTTAAAATATATGCATAATTTAACAGGAGTTTATACCCCATCAGGTTATGAGTAATAAGATCTCACAGTTATTAAAATAGTTTATAGAGTCTGATTGTTTTATCTGTGTGCAATAGTTTATAAGCTTCTGCTGTTCATTAATAATCACTAATAGAATAAAGCTAAAGTAAAAAACAGATACAGCTTCATTCTGTTTAGTATGTTAAGTCAAAATAAAAATGTAGAGACATATCTCTAAATTCAACATTTTATTGAAGAAGCAAAAATTGCAGTTTGAGGCATATACACAGACCAGGTGGTCTTCAATGTGTCTAGAAAATAAAGAGAAAGTTGGAAGTTTTGTAAAAAGGAAAAATTTTATGTTTATTTGTTTTGCAACAAAGTTTACTAGGACTAGTTAAGTTTTGGGAGCTGGCAAGCTGTGATTGGTGAGCGATGGTGGTAGATCGAACTAGTCTAAGAGTTACAGTAGGTTGTCTCAGTAGCTGTTAGAGAAAACTGGTTTCAGGTTACAACAGGCAGTTTCAGCAGCCAGGCTTATAGAAAATTTAATTTTTTTTTTTTTTTGGGCCGAGTCTTCCTCTGTTTGCCAGGCTGGAGTGCAGTGGTGCCATTTCAGCTTACTACAACCTCCGCCTCCTGGGTTCCAGTGATTTTCCTGCCTCAGCCTCCCAAGTAGCTGGCACTAGAGGTGCCTGCCACCACATCTGGCTGATTTTTGTATTTTTGGTAGAGACTGGGTTTCACCATGTTGGCCAGGCTGGTCTCGAACTCCTGACCTCAAGTGACCCACCCTCCTTGGCTTCCCATAGTGCTGGGATTACTGGTGTAAGCTACCACACTTGGCCTTAATTCTTGGAGCAGGGGGCAGGTGCTGTGTGTCCTGAGTGCTTTATTTCCCTGGTCCCTTGACTGATTTAGTTGCTTGTGATGAGAATCAGCTTTCATATTTTTCCCTTTACATCAAGATCTTTCTCTGAAAGCATTGTTGATCAGCCATCTTAAAGTTAGGCTTAATTGTTCGTTGGTGCCAGGATGGACTTATTCTAGTTGTTTCTGTCCCATATATGAGAGAAGGTATGGGGAGGGGGGCGGTCTCTGTCATGGAAGTAGGTCACATTCAAGTAACCAAGAGGCCAGAAGGTAAATTTTTCTCAAAGTAGATGTTTGTCTGGAATCCAGCATCAAATTCCCTCTTATCACTTCCATAGGTATTAACAGTCATCTTTAAGTGTTGAGCTAACATTCTGTTGGGACTTTACAAAGATTAGATAGGCACTGAGAACAAAGCTTACAAATGATAGGAAAAAAATTAACAATATAGTAAAATTTATTTGTGCAGTGCTTTTCAACTAAAGCCCAGGCCTAAGGGCAAAAAACTAAACAAATTAAAGGACCAGGGGAAACTAATGAGACCTGCTGTTGCCATTGACTAACATTTTATGACTGGGTTGAACTAAAGCAGAGAATGCCTAACTTTGCAAGAGGGAACACCAGTACAAATTAAACTAAAAATTATGTTAAAGATATTGTCGATGTTGTGGACTAGATGAACTGAAAGATTTTCTTAAGTGAGGTTTTGTCAATGGCCATAGCAGGTCTCACCAGTACCTATAGCAGTAACTGATTGTGAATTTTTAATTACAATATTATTCGGTTAAGTGAAAAAGGCAGGCATTAAGAGGGGTGAGAGTTGCATTGCGATATGGGGTTTTGTTCCAATGTCTTGAGAAAAGCTGTTTACACCATGGAAAACATTAACTTCCTTGGCCTTGTTTACAGTTTAAATGTCTCTGACTATGGCTTTGGACAGTTTGATGAACTTTCTGTGTGGCCATACATCAGACATGAGATTTGTTTCTTAAAATTTACATAGTTTCAGCTTACAGGGCTTCAGGAACAGATCGGTTCTCATTTTAGAAATTTTATGGAAGAAAGTTTGATTGGAGGAACCTAGGAGAATTTAGGACCTTGTCTAGTCTGTAGGTAGATAACAATACTCAAAAACAATGTACAGACTTACAGTCTAATAACAGGTGTATTATAGTTATTTGTTAGAAACAACTTTTTTCTCTACATTGATTACATAGGAGTCTTAGATGTAAAAACTTCTTGAGGCAAGGAAGCCAAACCAAGGCAGTCTTTAGATTTTATTTACAGTCCTTAGGTTCCTGGTCCTGCCAGGAAGTAACAGTTTTTATTTACTCATTGTAATGCTGAGAAACCCTCGAGTTAAGCATTTTATGCACTTTTTAAATACAACAGCTTGGTAAGAACCCTGGTAATATAATCAGTGTTTTCAATTGTATTCTGCTGTAAACAGAGAGCAGATTTTTACTGGACTTATGCAAATCATCATATTCCCATAAAAGTACTTACAACTAATTTTTTAATAATAAGGAGAAAAAAAGGAAACGCTTTTATCTTTTTTTTTTTTTTACAAATATATACTTTGCCAAATTGCTACAAATTATAAATAGCTTAAGAGATAATTTTTTAAAATCTGGAAACCAAAATATTTAAGTAAAGAACTAATGATGTTTTAAATGAAAGTTATGAAAACATTATTTTTATCAATTACTTAATTTTATGTAAGTAATTTTTGTTTTGCTTGATCTTGATTAGTATTTTCATTTACTCATCATTTTTTGTTAGCATTCTGGAAATTTTTATTTAGTCAATTAATCTTAAAGTTATTAGAAACCTGTATTTAAGAGTACTTGTTGGGGTCTTTTCCACACATTCAGGGTTTATAGTGATATGTGAGATTTTGATCCTGTCATTATGTCACCATCTGATTGCTTTATAGTTTGATTTTGTAATTGCTTTATATTGCCTGTGGGCTATGATCTTTAGTGTGTTTTTATGGTACCAGGTATTGATCTTTCATTTCTATGTTTAGGACTCCCTTAAGGACCACTTGTAAGGCTGATCTGGTGGTAATGAATTCTCTTAGTGTTCCCTTGTCTGAGAAAAATTTTACTTCTCCTTCAGTTATGAAGCTTAATTTGGTGGGATATTAAATTCTTGGGTGGAATTTCTTTTCTTAGAGGATGCTGACAATAAGCCCCAGTCTGAGTTCCCTTTGAATGAAATCATGTCCTTTGCAGCAACATAGAAGCTTCTGGAGGTCATTATCCTAAGTGAATTAACACAGGAACAAAAATCCAAATACTTCATGTTCTCACTTTTAAGTGGGAGCTAAACATTGAGTGTACATGGACATTAAGATGGAAACAGTAGACACTGGGAACTACTAGAGAGGAGAAGGAGGGAGGAAAACATGGACTGAAAAATTACCAAGGGGGTGTTATGCTCACTACCTCGGTGATAGGAACATTCATACCCCAAACCTCAGGATCATTCAATATACCCATGTAACAAACCTGCACATGTACCCTCTGAATCAAAAACAAAAATTTTTAAAAATAAATAATTTTAAAACCAATTAATTTATCAAGGATGTACTTAAGTCATGTGAACTAAAATATTTTATATTAGTATGCATTTATCCAAATAGAATTCCTTAAGGGATTTCTAGACAACTATGTCAGATTTTATTATATAGACACAACATACAACATAATATATGTACATATGCATAAAAATATCTAAACACCTATACAAATATATAAATAAAACTCTTACAGCTTCTTTTTTAGAACTCATGAGATAGTAAAACAATAAACCACCCACTTTATAAAAAGAGAGTTAGATCCAAATTGTTGTTTTTCTAACAAAATGGGATAAGGCTAAACTCCTTAAGCTTTTTTTTAATAGGTAATATTATGAAGACTGTGAACTAAATTATAGGTAGAGTGCTTTGAGCCAGTTAGCAATATACTGGATTAGACAAAGAATTATTAACTGTGAAAATGTGAATGAATTATGTGAGGAGACCCAAATAATAGGAATTATTCTAACAAAGTCTGTACAGTGTTTTCTTGTCTCAATTCTTTGTCCCTGAAGATAAGATTGTTACCATTTCTTTTAGTATAGAGGCAGTGTCCTTTACATTGGAATTTTATCTTAAAAACAAAACAACATGAAAATCAAAATGATTTTCTTTTATCTGATGATTTTCCAGTGTTTTACTTAAATAGTCAGTATGCCAAAATAGGAAAAGAGAGTTTAGTCTAGATTAGGATAAAGAAGAGGAATTGTAAAAGTGGAGGGAAAAGCTTCAGAGAGGATATTGTCTCAGCTAGCATTGAGACAGTATTTTGTAGCAAGGCAATCTCTGAGTCCTGAAATTTTTGTTAGCCTTAAGATATCAGTTGGGATATGAGTCTTATTTAGAGTATATGATTTTATGACCGTGGTCTTTTAGTTTTGTTGTAAGAACAACAGACTGTTTGAATAATTCCTATAATGTTTGAACACGTTACCAGCTGGAGTCCCAGAAAATATCCTGGCATATCTTTAAACTTTGAGAGCCTATTTTTAACTTAATGTATTTAGGTGACTCAGTTTAATGCCAAATACACAAAAGCCAATTAAACACAAGTGCTGAATACGCAAGGCCAAATAAACACAAGCACCAACAGAAAATAAAGTATGTCCTTACCAGAAAGAACAATAAGTCTCCAAATGAAAGGAAGAGTACCCTCAACTAAACATCAAAACTGAGGTCTAAACTCTACAGCTGAAGTTAACAGGGGGAAAATAACCCTCCCCAGCAGGAGATCAGTCAGCCAGGAGGCAAAAGACTCCTCTCAAACAGGAGGGGGAATGAGAAAGACCCTTTCCCAACCAAATCCCAAATAAAAGAGAACTCAACCAAAATTAGGAGTTTAGTCCAAAAGAGACTCACCAAGTGGAAAACAGGTGATCCCCCCACCTCAGAAGCAGTGGATCTGAAAGGGCCCCAATGTGGGTACTTCATGCTGTAGTTCCCAGGGCCAGAGATTCTCCCTGAAGTAATTCAGCTTTAGGATCCCACTTCTGACACCAAGTAAATCAAAGCCAAAAAAATGTATAGAGATGAATCTCTAGATTCAATATTTTATTTGGGAAGCAAAGATTGCAATGCAAGGCAAAGTTTTGGGGAGCTGGCAAGCTGTGACTGGTGAGTGATGGTGGTGGGTCAAACTAGTCTTAGAGTCACAGCAGGTTGTTTCAGTAGGTATTAGATAAAACTGGCTTCGGGTTACAGCAGGAAGCTTTAGCTGCTAGGTGTGTGAAAAATTTAATTCTTGGAGCAGGTGCCATGTGCTCTGAGTGCTTTATTGCCCTGGCCCTTCAATTCTGATTTAATTGGGTATGACAAAAATGACTCAATTTGTATAATCAACTTTCACAATTAAATATTGGCATAATTAAAACACAAGTATGAGCTGAAACATGACTGATGTTGGTAATTTGATTCATAAAATGATGATGGCAGACTCAGAATATCACAAGATGATATCAAGTAATGACCAAACATTAGTCATTTTAATTACCTAAAGCCTAAGCCAAGATTCATTTATTGACTTAATATGTACAGGGCAACTAATATAATTAATAGTTTCAGGCATTGTGCGAAGTAAAGTAGTTTCTACTTATCTTTGAGAATTTTCTTTCCCCTCCTGTTATCCTCTCTATCCTACTGCCCCTTGCTCAAGCTGAATCCTCATATTGCCCTATGATTATTTAAAGTTTTCACTAAAGTACTACACCTGAACCTCTTCTCAAAAAAGTTTTTGTTAACTTTCTATAATTGGTAACTTCTTTTCTTTGCAACTCCCCACAGGCCAACTCTTTGATATTGACTCTTTAATACTTGACTTGGTACTAAACAGCAAGTTGATTGAAGGAATTCACACTAAGACACTTGTCTTTTGTCTTTTCTCATCTTTCACAAATACTACATATACACTTGAACGATTGATAATGTCCATCTTAGAAGTTTTGAGGCAGTAGGAATATAAGTTATTGTTTTGCATGGCTTTAATCAGAATCAAAGGAGTCATTATAATTCTCTACTTAAAGCTGTCTAGATTTAAAACTACCACAGCATTAGCCCTTACTATTGTCTTCCTACATTTAATTAAACATCAAATAGAAATATCCAATAACAGTTTGCACTTGGAATATTTACTTTCACCTTTCAAGAATTTGATTATAGACTGAGCGCATAAGCTCGTATAAGCCTGTAATCGCAGCACTTTGAGGGGCTCAGGTGGGTGGATCACTTGAACTCAGGAGTTCAAAACCAACCTGAGCAACGTGGAAAACCTCTGCCCTCCCACTACAAAAAAATAGATGGGCATGGTGGTGTGCAACTGTAGCCCAGCACCTCAGTAGACTGAGGTGGGAAGATTGCATGAGCCCAGGAGTTTGAGGCTGCAGTGATCATGCTACAGCACTCCAGCCCTGCAACAGAGCAAGAAAAAAAAAGAATTTTACTATAGATCTATGTAATGTATGTATTCCTCCAATTAAGCACCAGGATTTGGAAATTAATATTTTATAAGTAAAAAGTAATAATACTAATGACATATTTACAGATGCATAAAGGAAATAAGGGAGGAGCTCCCAGGTCAAATGTTTCCCAGTTTAAGCATAAATATTGCAATGACCAGAATGATTCCTTTAATCTCTGCTTACAATGTTCTCCTCATTCCTTGTCATTTGGCATACAATGTAGATTGATAGTGTTGGGATGAAGCTGAAACTGGAAGGGTATTATAAAATTTTGCTCCCCAAAAGCATTTTTCTTTACATGCTCATTCTTTCAACAAATGTTTACTGAGCACTTGGGAAATGTAGTGACAAGCAAAAAAGACAGCACATATAATCTTTTTTTTTTTTGGAATTTGTATTTCTTGTGCTACCAGATCAAATTCATACCAACCATCTTGAGGGAAATCCTATTCATAGTAAAGGTTGTTCATTGAGGACACAAATCTGAAAGTCATTAAAATTTATCAGGCAGTTTACTAGAATTCAGTTAATACATTAGAAGATATATTAGAAACTCAAATTAGAAAATTGGTACATCCTTTTGGATTTTTCAGATTATGACATCAAAATTACACTGATCTATCAATCTAATATATACATAAAAGAACTGTACATATTTACACTAACGGAGATTATACCTATGTCTGTGTATCTATGTAAACATGCATAGTAGAAGATTTGGAAATTCTCATGCCAGAATTTTATCTATGGTCTCTGAATGGCATTAGAAGTATTCATTGTTCTTCAACAATATTTTATGATATTTTTCCCTTATGAGCATATGTCATTTTTGTAACAGGAACTATTACAAAATGAGTAAAATGACATTAATCTGCAGATAAATTCAGCTAAAGAGCTTCTATGTAGGGAAATTCTATAAACACTTGAAATTTGTGAGAAAAGTAGATGGAGCCTATTAACAATAGCAATGGCGCTGATAGACAATCCAGTTGTCACATTTGCTTTCAAATCATTCTCAAGATACGACATAATTAGAAAGACATCAATATATCCAAATACAGGCAATAATGATTTATAAGAAGATTATATTTTAAGTTTATATTTTTCCTCAACTTATGCTTCCCTATAAATTTGTCAGAGCTTTATTTGAACACAATATACAGATTTTCAAAATATTTGGAAACTAACATTCTTTATATACATTTTTTAAAAAATACTTTTTGTTCCCAAAGTACCTCTGCTTCATGTTAATTTTTATGTATAATCTAATTAGAATGTATTAACTCATTTTTACAGAAAATGAATGTTTTTGTTTCTTTGCAGTGAACCCCATGCACGGTTCTATGCAGCTCAGATAGTACTAACATTCGAGTACCTCCATTCACTAGACCTCATCTACAGAGATCTAAAACCTGAAAATCTCTTAATTGACCATCAAGGCTATATCCAGGTATGACTTAAATACATTATGTATATTATATTTGAGAAAATACTAGGGAAGACCTTGTATGTATATAACCCCAACTTGGACCTTTTTTATGAAGGAGACATTTACTTATTCCTAATAGTTTAAGTAGAGCTCAGAGTTTCACTGCTGTGACAGAGAAGCAAAAATCCTATTATGAAAGGAACCTGTTTATATCTCCTTTAATGTATAATTGTGAACTTAGTATAGGCTCTTGCATAAGGAGATATTAATAGCTAAATCTGTTAGCACTTATTAGTGCCAGGCATATTTCAAGTGTTTTACATGCATTATTTCTTCAATCCTAATAAACCTATGAAGTGGAAATACCATTGCTATCTTCATTTTAAGATTAACAAAACTGGCTGGGCGCAGTGGCTCATGCCTGTAATCCCAGCACTTTGGGAGGCCAAGGCGGGCAGATTGCCTGAGGTAGGGAGTTCCAGACCAGCCTGACCAATATGATAAAACCCCGTCTCTACTAAAAATACAAAATTAGCTGGACATGGTGGTACATGCCTGTAATCTCAGCTACTCAGGAGGCTGAGGCAGAGAATCACTTGAACCCAGGAGGTGGAGGTTGCAATGAGCCAAGATCACACCATTGCACTCCAGCCTGAGCAACAAGAGTAAAACTCCATCTCAAAAAGAAAAAAACCCAAAAAAAACAAAAACAAAACTAAGCATAGCAAGGTCATTTAGCTCGTAAATGGTAGAGTCAAAATTTGAACCTAGGCAGTCTGATCCACGAGTCCATGTGCTTTACGACTGCAGTGTAACTGCCAAAGGATCCCTGACTACCAATACTGAACTGGTAGCAACGTTTTCTTTCCACTTCTACTATTAACAAAGTCGGAACATTTCTTTTTACACGATTATTGATAGATTCTCCCATTGACGTTTTTGCACTTCTGATGGTGCAATTAATGGCAAAGGGCCCATTGGAGTAAGGCAAACTTTTAGCATTGTTTCATTTTTATTAATGCTATTTATTTTTACCTTTTTTTTTTTTCACTTTTTTATTTCTTGGGTCTAGGATCTTATGACAATGTCTGAAAAGTGTTTGTTGTTCATTTGTTCCTTTTCTTAGAGTTGAGGAAGGATTTCCGACTTGGGTTGTTTAAACCTTCATTCACTAAATAGTCATGAATGAATCTCAATTACATGGACTTAATTTGTTTTTCCATTTCTTTCATGGTTTCAATTTGAATTTTAAACTTTCAGTTTAGGCTTAATAAATATATTTATTGCGAGGCAATATATTTTCACTAGTATTTTCTTTTCTTTTATAGGTCACAGACTTTGGGTTTGCCAAAAGAGTTAAAGGCAGAACTTGGACATTATGTGGAACTCCAGAATATTTGGCTCCAGAAATAATTCTCAGCAAGGTATATTCATAATATCAATATATAAGAAGTAGAAATATGAGGCATGCATTCCTATGAACTTATGTAAAAATAGTTTGTTGATCTAATTTTACATTTTTAATTTGATCTAAGTTATGAATTTAAATCTATTTGTGCATGATTACTAAAGAATAATTATTTAGCCTCTACTGCTAATCCTATAACCTCTGTCAATTTTTTTTTTCTTTTTTTTTTTTTTTTGAGACGGGGTTTCACTCTTGTTACCCAGGCTGGAGTGCAATGGCGCGATCTCGGCTCACCGCAACCTCCGCCTCCTGGGTTCAGGCAATTCTCCTGCCTCAGCCTCCTGAGTAGCTGGGATTACAGGCACGCGCCACCATGCCCAGCTAATTTTTTGTATTTTTTAGTAGAGACGGGGTTTCACCATGTTGACCAGGATGGTCTCGATCTCTTGACCTCGTGATCCACCCGCCTCAGCCTCCCAAAGTGCTGGGATTACAGGCTTGAGCCACCGCGCCCGGCCCAACCTCTGTCAATTTTAACTCTGCATCTTAGAGAAATAATATGAATAAATGTGACCTGTAGATCCATGTTTTGCAACCAAAACATAGTCTTTTCTTAATTATTCCTAGTAACGGGAGGGTAGAGAAGACTTGCTCTGGATTACACCAAGAGGTAAATCTAGAGATGATATGTACTAGTTGTCCATTCTTTATTTGTTTCAAATTTACCATTTAAATAAAAGGAATGTATGAGAAGTGTTTTTAAATCTTAAATAGGACTATTAACAGCCATTTAATAGCTTTAGTCTTATTGAAGACAGCTCTACTTTTCTAAATAGTGAAATATGGTGAGAGAAACTGTACTTATATCTAAAAGAATGGTTTAACTTTTCCTCTGCCATCTCTTGGTGGAGAAATCTACAAAGGAGAACCTAACAATAACCAGGCACAAATAGGAGAGAGGAAAAGGAAAGGGATAAAACACATGCTTCAGTGGTTCCCAAATGGAATCAGTGAAATATGGCTAATCTGTAGAAGTGTTAAAAGATTTCTTTCAACTTTTTTCTCATCATCTTTTATGATTCAAATAATGTATAACTTCTTGATCTTTTATAGTCCAAATGTCATTGCAGTTAACACATTTCTTCTTCAAATACAGTTAACAAATAATGTGACATTAAAATGAGCACTAAAACTTTTATAAATGTGTATATATTGTAAAAATAATACTCATTTTACAAATTTAGAAAATACAGAAAAACACAAAGAAACAACCAAAAAAAAAACTGTATGTAATCCCACCAACCTAGAGGTAGCCTTTTAAAAAATATTTATTTATAAGTGTGTGTATATATATATACATATATACACACATATATATATACACGCACACATATCCACACACATATATAATGATAATATATTATATATGATAATATATATGACTATATATATTAGCTTATATTTTAGGTTCAGGGATACATGTGAAGGTTTGTTACATAGGTAAACTCATGTCATGGGGGTTTGCTGTACAGATTATTTCATCACTCAGGAATTAAGCCCAGTACCATAGTTATCTTTTCTTATCCTCTTCCTCCTCCCTGCCTCCACCCTCAAATAGAACACAGTGTCTATTATTTCCTTCTTTGTGTTCATAAATTCTCACCATTCAGCTCCCACTTATAAATGAAAACGTGGTATTTGATTTTCTGTTCTTGCTTTAGTCTGCTGTGGATGATAGCCTCCAGCTCCATCCATGTTCATGCAAAAGACATGATCTTACTCCTTTTTATAGCTGCATAGTATTCCATAGTGTGTATGTACCGTATTTTCTTGATCTAGCCTACAATTGATGAACATGTAGGTTGATTCCACGTCTTTGCTATTGTGAGTAATGCCACAATGAATAAACAAGTACATTTGTCTTTATAATGGAATGATTTATAATCCTCTGGGTATATGCCTAGTAGTGGGATTGCTGAGTCAAATGGTAGTTCTGCTTTTAGCTCATTGAGGAATCTCCATACTGCTTTCCACAATGGTTGAACTAATTTACACTTCTATCAACAGTGTATAATTGTTAACTTTTCTCTGCAGCTTTGCCAGCATTTGTTATTTTTTGACTTTTTAATAATAGCCATTCTGACTGGTGTGGAATGGTATCTTATTGTGGTTTTGACTTGCATTTCTCTAATGATCAGTGATACTGAGCATTTCTTCATATCCTTGTTGGCCACATGTATGTCTTCTTTCAGAAAGTATCAGTTAATGTCCTTTGCCCACCTTTTCATGGGTTGTTTGTTTTTTGTAAAATTTGTTTAAGTTCCTTATGGATGCTGGATATTAGACCTTTGGCAGATGCATAGTTAGATATTTTCTCCCATTCTGTAGGTTGTCTGTTTACTGTTGATAGGTTTTTTTTTGTTGTTTTTGTTTTTTTTCTGTGCATAATCTCTTCAGTTTAATTAGATCCCACTTGACAGTGTTTGCTTTTGTTGGAATTGCTTTTGGTGCCTTGTCAGGAAATCTGTATCTATTCCTGTGTTCAGGATGGCATTGCCTAGGTTGTCTTCAAAGGTTTTTATACTTTGGGATTTTTGTATTTAAGTCTTTAATCCATCTTGAGTTGATTTTGTGTATTGTATAAGGAAGGGGTCCAGCTTCAGTCTTCTGCATATGGCTAGCCAGTTATCCCAGAACTATTTATTGAGTAGGGAATCTTTTTCCCAATCCTTGTTTTTGTCAGCCTTGTCAAAGATCAGGTGGTCATAGGTGTGTGGCCTTATTTCTGGATTGTCATAGTTGAAATCATAGTAAATGTATATAGTCTTGTCTCTGACTTTTTTTACTTTCATAATAACAAGCATGGAAGCATCATTCTAATGGCTTGTTTACAAATGTACTATGAAGTATTTAGTCACTCTTCTATTGTTGAGTATTCAGGTTTTATTTTTGTGTTTTGTTTTTTGTTATAATAAATAACTATGATAAACATCTTTATGCATAAAGCTTTTTCTGTATTTTACATTATTTCTTTAGCATACATTCCCAGAAGTAGAATTACTAGGTCAAGGAGTAGTAACATTTTTAAGGTTTTTATACATATTGCCAAATTGCTTTCCAAAATTATTATGCCATTTTATACTTCTACCATTAGAGTGCCTATTTCATATCACCATCACTGGGTATACTCATTTTTAAAGTATTTACTGATTTAATAGGCAATAAATTGTATCTTATTGTTTTCATTCTCAAGTTTTTTATTTCTTTGTGTGTGTGTGGTGTGTGTGTGTGTGTGTGTGTGTGTGTGTGTGTGTGTGTTTGTTTTTTTTTTTTTGAGATGGAGTCTTGCTCCGTTACCAGGCTGGAGTGCAGTGGCACAATCTCAGCTCACTGCACCTGCCGCCTCTCGGGTTCAAGCGATTCTCCTGCCTCAGCCTCCTAAGTAGCTAGGACTATAAGCACATACCACCATGCCTAGCTAATTTTTGTATTTTAGTAGAGACAGGATTTTGCCATGTTGGCCAGTATGGCCTTGATCTTTTGACCTCACGATCTGTCCACCTTGGCCTCCCAAAGTGCTGGGATTACAGGTGTGAGGCACTATGCCTGGCTGATTAATTTTTTAAATGCTTAATAGCCATTTGGTATGTCTTTGTGTATCTGTAAATTATTAGTTCATCTCCTTTGCCCATTTATCTATTTTAATTTAACATATTTCTTATTGACATGTTCTGATTTCTATACCATGGGTATTAACTTGTGTATGACATATTTACTATAAACATTAGCACACAATTTAAATGTATAATTCAATAAGTTATAGAGAGCTAATGCCTATTTCTGTTAGAAAACAAAGTGATATTCCTATTATACCACTCCTTCCCTTATAAAGTTATATAAAGAATCAGGGAAAAAAAGAGAAAAAGAATATCTCTATAGTATTATAGAATTATGTTTTTGCTAGAAATTTGAAAACTAAATAGTTTGTAAAGCTTCAGTTTTGACAAAAAGGTGGAATATGGGGAAACGTGATGATAGAGGGTACTTCTGAGGGCAGAACAATAGATCTGTGTAGAATTCAGTTTATTTCTCTTCATGACCAGGTTGTCAGGGTTTTTAAAAAATCTCTTGGGCCAGTTGATACTGATCATAATTGATAAACTATTAACATGTTAATATAAACATGTTATTCTTATTTGTTTTCTTGTAAATAGTTCTAGATCTTAATTTTAGTAAGGTTAATATGAAAAAGAACAATTAAACATAACCTTTAATTTTTACATTTGGTTTGCAAAGCCCTTTTTATACACATTACTCCCTTTTATATGATATAGTCCTCACAAAACCCTATGAATTCATTTTTTTTTCCTGCATACCTTTTAGAGATAGGAAGCAAAACAGTAGATAGCAGAAGTAAAGTATACTTAAATATTTACATTAATTGAATTCTACATTAAACTTATTGTTTTCACAAAATCCTGTGAAACAGATGGGATTGTCCCCAGCAGATTCACCCTCCTAACTCCAAAAATACAGAGTATTTTGAAGTCAACTTCACTATTTACTATGTAGTTCATTTTCTATTATTTTCTTTGAAAACATTTGATCTTTCTAGGCATGCTGTGGAAAATCTAATTAGTAAGATTATGGACCTAGAACAGGCCTTAAGAAGTAATGTGGTCTAATTGCCTTCCTGTTATTGAGCAAGAACTAAATTATCCCAGTGAAATAAAGAAAATTTCATTATTTGTAATATTCTTAATCACTTAGGAAGAAGATTTAATAATCTTTCCTAATATCCAATTTCAATATCTGGAAATTCCCTTTTTTGTTTAATTTAAATCTGACCTGATACATTTGGTTCATTTTTAAATTCCATCCTGAATAGCTGCTCAGCAGCTGCTTTAAAAATTTTTTATATGCGTCCAGATCATTTTGAAATTACCTTTGACTTCATTCTCTTCTGAGTAACTTAAGTAACAATTGACATTGGTGTTGGTTTATCTCAGGGCTACAATAAGGCAGTGGATTGGTGGGCATTAGGAGTGCTAATCTATGAAATGGCAGCTGGCTATCCCCCATTCTTTGCAGACCAACCAATTCAGATTTATGAAAAGATTGTTTCTGGAAAGGTAAGTAATATTTTTTTTATTATTCTCTTATTCGTTGTTACTGTACATGAATTTTAAGCTTCATGGATTGAAACCATATTTTATCATCAGAGTATTATTGAGAAAAATATAGAAAAATCTATAGTTGGGAATCTACATAGGGAAAAATATAGAAATCTACATCAAAACATAGAATCTACATTGGGAAAAATATAGAAAAATCTATAGTTGCTGCTTTTACTAGCATAAGTATTGACTCATTTAAGTCTCTTAAGAAAAAAAAGGATAATTGTATCAAGAAATTAGGAAAACAGTAAAGCAATGTCTATATTTAGTATTTTTATCACAAAGAACAGGATGATAGCCATAATTCTCAATACTCCTTCAAATAAATAAAAAATAGTTTATTATTTCATGTGTCTGTCTTCATGGAGACAAGTTTTAGGGGCTGTTTTATATGCCCTTGCATTTTCAGGAGAGACTTCTAGTTTTAATTATGTCTAATACTACAAAATTGGAAGTAAAAGTAAATATAAAATGAATAAGCCTTTTTAAGATGAAAATTTATAGAACTGATTTTAACAGAATTGTTCATGTAGGTTGTGATTATAATTGTCATTGGTTTTTAGCAAGCATGGAAATTACATTAATTTTTCTTGAACGTGAGTAGATTTACTATGTTATGGTTTTTTACATTTTGTAAATTACTTCATAAATCTTCCTTCTTTTGCACTTCTCTCATTTTGTTTTCAAGAGTATTTTGTTTAGGGTCAATCATTTGCTCTTGCCTTAGCTCAGACCTCAGATCTTTTTTTTTTAAAGACCATAGTCAATTCAATAGAAATGAGCCTGAATCTCCTACCATGCAGCAATGAAAGAATAGGCTTTTAAACATTCCCAGAGGAGACCTTCTATACATTAATGACAAAATATATGGGAAGGTATATTTTGCTTATTTTCCCTTCTTTCTATTTCTATAAGTGGTACTTTGTCTTCCCTCCCGCGCCGCCCCCCCCCCACATAGTTCCATCTAGAATATGATAAGGAAATAGAGCATCATTCTTGGTAACACATTACCCTAAAATATTATATAGTTGAAATTTTTTGTTTGTTTTATTTTTTATTTGTTTTGTATTTTGTGACCTTCTTAGGCAGAGATAAACCTAATCAACCTGAAGAATCTGGAAGGAGATAGAGGGAAAGGTTCTATTTCTTTGTATCTCAGCCAGATTCAAATTCTACATTTAATGTGAAAGCTTACCATTGGCATCTATCAACTTAAAATTTCCAGTGTTAACTATTCACAAGGTACCCTGAATGTCCATATTGTAGTAATTTATCTCTTTTGCCAACACTTAAGTTTAAATCATGGATGCTACACAGCTGGGCTGTAGGAACAAGACTCTTGCCAATAGAATTAGTCTATCCAATCACCTAGAATATGCATTTCAACACAGTATTATCCCCTTTCTTATAGTACATATGCAGTCTACTGGGTCACAAGATTCCCCCTTGTATTTTGCCACATTGTATGCAGAAAGTTTTATGTATTGTCAGTATTCACAAATTAGGAGACTGACTACCCCAACCATGTCAAAGGTAAAAAATAAATACCTCTTACAGATAAATAAACTAAGCGAGGTGTTGAACGCTGTGCACTGATAAAGGCAATACAGAAAAGCAGAATGCAGTACTTATTTAAACAAGTATTCATATCACTGTTGTTCTTGTCACATTTGTAGATCTCTGGCTTCAGATTTCTTATTTTTGTAATTGTTTTCCCCCAGCAGAACTTTTGATATGAACAAAACAAAATTTTGCAAAAAATTAACAGACAAAGTAATGATTTATTTTTGAAGAATTTGAGACGTGTAGACTCTCAAGAGGACTAAAGGTCATATGAATGATGATGAGAGAACCAAAATACATTAAAATCACAAATGGAAGAAGAATATTTTGCTAATACAAAAACTAAGAGTGTAAAAATTATAATAATTGTTTCAAATAATTTAGTTAACAGCAATTATAAAGTTCTTGAATCTTTACTATATTGCTTTTATTTATACTTCATAAAAGAAATCCAATTTTCTAACAAAGATATTGTCATAAATAAATTTACATTTATTAACAAAAATTGCTTTAGTTAAAATTAATGTGTCTTCATCTTTATGCATTGGCCTCAATTTGCCAATCATTCTTCATTGGTTAAAATTTATATTCAGCTGTTTATGAATATGTATTTATTTTATATCAAACTTTAAAATGTTGTACCTGATAATCAGCATATATTCTAAAATCATAACAGTCTAAATCCTAGGCACCTTAAAAGAATAGCAACATAAAACTTTATTATACTACAATATTCTGTTTTTCCCCTTCATTTATTTAGAAATATGATAGGATATTTGGTGTACTTTTGTTTTTTAACTAAAAGTACCAGATTATCTGACCCCATATGGGATATAAATTATTCCTATCTCTTCATTTACTCATCTAAAGTAGAAGTCATGAAAGCGGAATATTGCCATTAAATGATCTCTAGGCTCTGTATTATGTGAAGTATAGATTGTACTGTTTCCCAATAAGTCATCTGTTTCAATACTCAAATTCAAACTAGAATGTGTTTCTATTCACATTGCAAAAATATTATCTCCCTGGTTAGTAGCTAAAAGCCAAATTAGAAACCAACTAGTTTTTTACACTTTTTAAATTGTACAGTTAGTTAAAAATCCAATTTGGTCTTATATTTGTGGATCCTTATATTTGTATTTGCATTTGAAATTTTAATGGTTTTAATGACATATCATTTAAGAATATGCTTTCCATTCAGAATTATTTTTATTTTAAAAGCATATTATTTTATGCAACAGCATCTTAAATTGATTATATCCTCCATTCTGAAGTCATGTTATGAAGATTGTAAGTATCAATGGCTTATGAAAGTTAAAGTTAAATTTATTAATTAAGTGATAAATTCACTAAAGTACATATATATGAACATTAGATTGTAAAATGCTTTCTCTATTACGATATTTTAACTCAAGCTGATATTTTTAAATGCACAGAAAGATGATCAATCAACTTGTTAGATTCTCTCCTACACATATTTTGCCTTTAAAAAACAGAGGAGGTGGTATTTAAATGTCAAATTATTCATGCCATGTTAAGGTTCGAATCTACAAATGCATAGTTGACAGAAAAGATTTATGATTCCTGCATTAACTATGCCTCATCATAGCAATACATATGCTGAGTTTCTGTATATAGTCTTTAAATTTCATGCCTCAGTGTCATATACTCTATGACAAGAATCAGTTATGGTCTCCATAACACCTCTATCTGACTGCATTACCCATGGAAATATAGAAAGTTTATATTGCAGTCCAAAATTATACTTGCAATTACGGTACTTAAGTAATAGCTACTATGGAAACCATAACTTTAAAGTCCTTGACTTATATAATTTAAAAAATTCTTAGCTTCAACATATCTAATGTAAATATTGTTCCACTCTTAATGAGTAACAATGTGTAAGAAGACATTATGCAAAATATAGAAGTATAAACATAAGTATATACTGAATGATCAAAGAATTGGTTGATATTTCCTGAAGGGAAATTCAACATTCATATGAGGGGTAATTGATTATCAGCCCAATTATGATTCCTTTCTGTGTCAGAGGTCCCCAAGACCATTTTCAAGTTTGGTGATTCACTAGCAGGACTGAACAAGATGCAGCATACAGTGGTACTCAAGGCTAAGATTTATTACAAGAAAAGGCTACAAAGTGAAGTGAGCAAAAGGAAGAGGCAGTCAGGGCAAAGTCCAGAAGAAACCAGATACAGGCTTTCAAGAGTTCTCTCCCAAGGCAGTCACAAGGGATACATATAATTCCTTCAGCAACAAACTGTGACAAGTGTAAAATTTTATCTACCAGTGATACTCGTTAAATACCCAGTGCCTGTTTTTATTGGGGCCAGGTCACATATGGACCCTCTGCCTTGCTCATGCCAAAATTACAGGCTCCCAGAACAAAAGTAGATGTTCAGAATAAACTATATTGTATGTACCAACAGTCTAGGCACAGTGAGTCACTTTAATCATTTAGGAAAAGTTTCATATTGGTATAAGGCACTGGTACTATTCAAGTTGCCAGACACCTCCCAAGGGCCAAACTTGTAGCATTTCTTTCTAAGGGTAGCAGGCTCAAGCCTGCTATGTTACTGCTTTTCTACACACATTCTATTTCCTAAGTAATATACACATATGCAGATATACCACTATACCTTTTCTAAGATATTATTGTCAGTGCTTTTGGGGAAATTACAATGTCATTTTCTGTTTTGCTATGGTCATAGTCAAAGAGACTTAGAAGTACTCAGAAATCATTTTTATAAAATACAAAAGTAGTTTTACTCTTTGCCTAAAACCCAGGGCCAGTTTTAAACACTTGACTGTGGTTATTTAAAATTCTTGTTAATACCTTCTTTGTGACAGCTCTTATGGTCCTATGAGCAAATAATTGCAAAACTGGCTTCTTATATGGGAGCAGGGGGAGGGAGAGTGGGGTGGATCATAATCCTCTGAAATCATGTAGACTCATTATATCTACCACTGTTTCTGCATAGGTAAGGGAACAGATTAGAGAGCCCACAGATACAGTACCAATATTTATAAATATTTTTAATCTCATAGCTTTCTTTTCACATGTAGAATCAAGGCTGATTAAAGATGCTCAGGTCTTATGAGGTAGTGTGGAACTTGGCACTGTATCTATTACATGCCTATCAGTGTACAAAAAGTATTGTGTCTATTGAAAACTTGTTTAATGTATATGTTAATTTTTGATAAATCAGTTCTCTACTGGGATTGCAGATATTTTTAGAACTTACTGTACCTAATTTAGAGATAATTTGTTAAAATTTATCTCAACATGCTTTTGACCAGAAGTTAATAGATTATTGCTTCTTGGCTGCATGCAAACTCCTTTGAGTCATGTAAGCCTAGTAAGTTTTATCCCA